GGCGTGTCTTGGCCGCCACTCGTCCAACCTGAAGCGTGTGTGTGTGTGTGTGTGTGTGTGTGTGTGCGCGCGTGCGCGGGGGTCGCTCGTGATGAGCACACACACAGGAGGCGTGTGCTGCGGCCAGGCAGGGTGCAAAGGGCCACAAGCCCAAGGGGACGCGGACGAAGGCCAGGCCAAGTGCCAAGGGTTGCCGGGGTCAGGGAGCCTGTGCAGGCTGACCCCACAGCCCTGCGCTGACCCCTCCCGAGTCCCCAGATGGGGAGGGACGATGCTCCCTGGTCCCTAGAGCCCTCCTGGCACTCCAGGTGGGGAAGAAGGCGAGAGTGCCGGGCGGCTGGCCAGGACGCAGCATCAGGGGGAGGAGCAGTGGGCACCAAGGAGCCGTGTCGTCCCCCGGGCAAGCGGCAGGGGAGGGGGACGGCACCCCAGAGCCCTGAAGGAGCCCAAGCAGGCCCGCGCAGACGTGTGGGCACGGCCGGGGACGCTTGCACGCTTGCCTTCATGCGCCTGTGTGCACCTCTGAACATGCACGGTGGCACCCCAAGGGCACCCCAGGGTGCCACCTCACCCGTGTTCTGCCTCCCTGAGCCCAGGCGCCAGGCGCAGGCACACCCAGGGGCCTGGTAGATGGTCTCCTTGCTGGGAGGTGACAAGAGGGGCCGGGGCCATCTGCAGCTGGGCCGGGGGCAGGGAGGGGGCTCACTGCCCCTGAGGTGAGGGTCACGGGCCGGAGGCCGGCACGAGGTCTCTGGTTGGGCTGGGGGCTCACGAGCTCATAGGCTTGTAAGGACCCGGAGCTGGCCCGGCAGCTGCAGAGCTGCGACGGCCCTGGGGCGCGTCACGTGGGCCCAGGGCCCGCGCTGGTGAGGGGGTAGCAGTGAGCCGACAGCATGAGGCGGAGAGAGGCGCAGTGGGCAGGCGGTGCAGGGCAGGGCACCTGGGGCGGGTCAGTACCTGTCACTCTGAGGGTACGGCCACCACAGCGTTCGGGCACTATCCATGGGCTTAAACTGCCAGCCTGCCAGATAGCGCTAGGAGGGCCCGGGGCGGGAGGGGTGCAGGAGAGAGAGAGAGAGAGGGCGGCCTCAACGCCGGGGTGTAGGCCCCGCCCGCAGCAGGCTGTAGGGGGCCAGAGCACGGTGCCGATGACGAGGGCTACCTGGCCCGCGAGCCCACACGGCCCTGGTCCGGGTCGAGGGCGCCCCGGCGGCTGCAGGGCAGGATGGGGCCACCGCACACGCGCCCACCTCTGAAGGCGGGTGGCCTTCGGCCTCTCTGGCCCTGTCCTCTGCAGCCCACCTCGTCCAGCAAGGCCACCGGGGCCCGTCAGTCTGCAACTTCCTTCTCTTGGGTGCCAAACCACCCTGTCCCCTCTTTTCTGTCTCAGCGAGGCCAGAGGGGACAGCGGCTGGAAGTGCCAGAGGCTGAGTCCCGGGCTGAGCTCAGGGAGTCAACGGAGGAAACGAAAGGAAACGGGCCCGCGTGAGAAAGGAGAAGCCGGGGCCCCTCAGGGTCGAGCTGGCCCGCCAGGCGGCTGGGGCTCAGGGTACCTTCGAGGCCAGCTCGTGGGCCCACCCGGCCCCGCCTCCTCCGGCCCCAGCACTGGAGGCTCCTCGCCACGCCGCCGGGCCCGCACTGCCCGTGAGAGCGACACGACCGCCGAGGCAGCCGCGCAGCACCCCCGCCCCGGCCTGAGACTTACTGAGGGCGGCGGGGACTCGCGTCCGATGAGGGGCGTGTTCTCACAGCGGGGGTTCTGGAAGTTGGCATTCTGGCTCCTGCGGTCGTAAGGGGAGAGGGGCTGTGAGCGGCCACCGGCCGAGCAGAGACCCTTCTGAAGCCAGGCAGACTCTGTGCCCGGCCCTCTCCAGCCCTGTGCGTTCTCGTCGCCACCCTGCATGCGGCCCCCAGCAAGGGCCTGAGGCGCCCGTGACCCTGGCACGGTAACCCAGGGCTCGACCCAAGGCTGCCTCGGCCCAGCCAGAGCCCACCCGGATGCCCGCCCGCCACGCGGCCGGCCCCGGGCTGTCGGCCACGGCATCCCCACACCCTTCGCACACACCCTCCACCTAACCGAGTAGCCTCATCGTGGCCGCGAGCCTGGTTTGCCTGGGCGACCCCACCCAGAGCCCGGGCAGCGCCCAGGGAGGCCCCTTCTGACTGCCCGACCGGCCCCTGCTCTGGCCCTCCCAGGTTCTCCTGCAGCGGGGCACACGGAGCTCCGCACGGCCTGCGCCCCCGTCCCCGCCTACCCACCCCCCTCCGGCCCCCGGCGCAACTCACATGTACTCGGTGACCGGGGCGTTGCTGACGGTGTGGGCCGCAGCTGGGATGCTGGTCTCGCTGCCGTAGCTGCTCCCGCAGCTGTACAGGCTGGGCATGTGCACGCGGTAGAGGCTGTCGTGTGCCTGCCTGGGCCCCGGGGCCGCCTCCTCCTCCCCATCTTCATCGGGGCCTCTGCAGGGAAGGACACCCGGCGCGGGTTCAGACCCGGACCCGAAGCGGCCAGCCGCCAGGCCCGTGTGGGGTCGGCTCGGATGCAGACACACCTCGTTCCGACCCCGGCTTGGTCAGGTATGGACTACGGGACCGTGGGCAGGTCACCCTGGCTTCATCCTCTGAGACGGGGGCGCCGAGGGCCCCGTGCCTCAGCCTGTACACCCGGATGCGGTCTGCCTATGAGCACGAGGGGCCACGGTCCCTCCCGCGGGGCAGAGAGTGGGGTGCCCAGAAGTGGGGGTGGCCTCTCTTGGCCCTGCAGGTCTCTGCCTGCACCTCTGGGTGGCCTGAGCCCACGGGGACTGTGCGTCCCCGGGAGGCCTGAGCCCAGCCCTCTTGCTCTGCTGCACGTTTCCTACCCACTGTGCCCAGGGAGCTGCAGGGCGAGGCGGGGCGAGGCGGGGCAAGGTGAGGCAAGGCGGGCGGCCGGGGCCAGGCCTCTGGCGCACCCGCAGGCCCCGCGCGTCCGGTACGCTCCCAGACCGGACTCGAGGCGGGGCTGCCTGGTGGTGTTGGCCTAGGTCAGCCAGGCCTGCGCTCCTGTCCCGCCTCCTGACCACCAGCTGGGTGACCGCGAGCGTACAGCGTCTTCTCTGAGTCCCTTGCGGCGAGAGAAGCAGGACGGTGGTAGCAGATGGCGAATGTGTCCATTCCCAGCCGTGCCCGGGGCTAAGCCCTTACACGTAGCGGTTCATCTAGTGCCTACCCGACCCCGAGAGGCGGGCTCTTTACAACCCGCGTTTACAGTTAGGGCGCCGGAGGCCCAGAGTGCTCAAGTGACTTGCCCAGGGTCATTCTATAAGCAAAGGCAGAACCGGGATCTGGATCCAGGGAACGTGATTCCAGGTCTGTCCTCTCAGCCACTTCCCTACAGCTGCCATCGTTATTACCGCCGCCACCACCACCACCATCACCATCATCGCCACCCCCGTTGTCCCCATCGCCACTGTCATCACCACCACCACCGCCATCACTAACACCACTAACACCACTACTGGCAGGATCACCACAGCAAACAACAGAGGGAAGACACCTGAGCTAAGCTGCCTGTCCTCTGAGCCAGGCCACCAAGAAGCAGCCACGGCCCGAATAAGTGGGAAGGGAGGCGGGGAGTCTGGGCGATGAAGTGTGGGGCCCAGGCAAGGCGAGGGCCCGGTTCCTCCGGAGACCACTCAACCTAGTACTGATCAGGGAGACTAAGGCAGGGGCTCCCGGGCACCCCACTTCAAAGACAAGAGCGTCACGGCCCCGTGAGTAGTAGCGGCCATCCCGGTCACCCGGCCAAACGGGCCACGGAGGCCGTGGCCACCTGGGGCCTTCCCTTGTAGAAGCTCCGAGTCCCCACGGCCAACCAGCCGCTCTTTCCACACACGAGCCCTGCACATCTACGCCCCGGGGCGGGGACACGGACAAGACGCCCCGAGGCCAGCCGGTCAGAGGCGGGGAAGGGCGCGGGGCACGGAGCCAGCACCGGCAGCAAGGACGCCCGGCTCTCCCCGCCTGCTCTGGACTCGCACGTCACCTGGGCCGGGAGCTCCTCTCTGCTCTCAGAGCGCTGCGGAGGCTTGCAGAGTGTCCGGAGCAGAGGGTGCGTTTGCTCCTGTCTCCGGGCGCCAGAACACGGGTGTCCGGAGGCGCGTCCCTAAAACACCCGGCACGCGGGATGGCCCGAGGCCAGCTCTGAGCCCCTCACCTTTTCTGCTGCCAGGTGTGTGGCACACTGCAGACAACGGAGCTGAACATGAGGGCTGTGACGAAGGAGAAGAGGGCCAGGTAGATGAGGCCCTCGACGCCGTCATAGCAGAAGCCCGTCAGGGCCTGCACGTAGTCCTGAGGCCAGACGGCCCGGCGACAGCAAGGCCACACGGACCGGGAGGGAGACAGGGAGGGCGGGCTGAGACGGGACGCGCCAGAGCCTCGGCCCGGCACGCGGCAGCCCGGACCGCCCTGGACTTGACCACCTTCCGGTCAGCTCCCGATCTCCTGAGGCCCCACACCCCCGGCTGCTCCCATCTGTTCCCCTGACCCTCAAGCTACTACGCGCTGTTCCCACTGCCCTTCCAGGTGCTCCCTCCCGCCCCC